TCATTGTTTCATAGGCCCTATGAAATTTAAGTTTTAAGGAGGTTCTATTTTGGTGTATTTCAAGGTTTTATTTCAATATTTAGAACTCCTTTTAGCATTTCTTGTAGTGCTGGCTTGGTAGTGGCAAATTTTCTCGGCATTTGTTTGTCTGAAAAATACTTTATCTGTTCTTCATTTATGAAGCCTAGTTTCACTGGATACAAAATTCTTGGGTGATAATTGTTTTGTTTAAGGAGGCTATGGATAGGACCCCAATCCCTTCTTACTTGGGGGGTTTTTGCTGAGACATCTTCTGTTAATCTGATAGGTTTTCCTATATAGGTTACCTGATGCTTTTTCATCACAACTCTTAAGTTTCTTTCCTTTGTCTTGACTTTAGATAAGCTGATGACTAAGTGCCTAGGTGATGATCTTTTCATGATAAACTTTCCAGGTGTTCTTTGAGCTTCTTGCATTTGGATGTCTAGATCTCTAGCATGGCCAGGGAAGTTTTCCTTGGTTATTCCCTCAAATAAGTTTTCCAGACTTTTAGATTTCTCTTCTTCCTCGGGAACACCAATGATTTTTAGTTTTGGTTGTTTAACATAATCCCAAACTTCTTGGAGGCTTTGTTCATTTTTAAAATTCTTTTTCCTTTGTCTTTGTCTGACTGGGTTAATTTGAAAGCGTTATCTTTGAGTTCCCAACTTCCTCCTACTTGTTCCATTCTACTGTTGAAACTTTCCAGTCTATTTTGCGTTTCTCTAAGTGTATCTTTCATTTCCAGAAGTTGTGATTGTTTTTAATTTTTGATATCAATTTCTCTGGAGAATTTTTCATCCATATCCTGTATTTTTTAAAATTTTTTAGGTTGGTTTTCACCTTTCTCTGGTATCCCCTTGAGTAGCTTAATAATCAACCTTCTGAATCCTTCATCTGTCAATTCAGAGATCTTGGTTTGGATCCATTGCTGGGGAGCTAGTGTGATCCTTTAAGGGTGTTATAGAACCCTGTTTTGTCATGTTACCAGAATTATTTTTCTGGTTCTTTCTCATTTGGACAGACTATTTCAGTGGAAAGGTCTGAGACTCAAGCTCTGTTGTTCAGATTATTTTTTTTTTCCGGGTGATCTCTTGATGTAGTGCTCTTCCCTTCCCCTAGGGATGGGGCTTCCTGAGAGCTGAACTGCTGTAATTGTTATTGCTCTTCTGGGTCTAGCCACCAACCTGGATGCCCAGGCTCCCCTTGTTGATGGTGGGGACTGTCTGCAAAGTGTCCTGTGATGTAATCTGTTTTCAGGTCTCACAGCCTGGATACCAGCACCTGCTCTGGTGGAGGTTGCAGGGAAGTGAAGTAGACTCTGAGAGTCTTTGGTTTTTGTATTAGCCATTTTCACACTGTTGATAAAGACATACCCAAGACTGGGCAATTTACAAAGGAAAGAGGTTTAATGGACTTACAGTTCCATGTGGCTGAGGAGGTCTCACAATCATTGTGGAAGGTGAAAGTCATATCTCACATGGTGGCAGACGAGAGAAAACAGTTTGTGCAGGGAAACTACACTTTATAAAACCAATAGATCTTGTGAGACTTATTCACTATCATGAGAACAGTACAGGAAAGACCTGCCCCCATGATTCAATTACCTCCCACCAGGTGTCTCCCACGACAAGCTGGAATTCAAGATGAGATTTGGGTGGGGACATAGCCAAACCATGTCAGTTGTAGATATGTTTTGTGTTCTGGCTTTTTCAAATGCTGGTTATGTCAGGACCCCTAGTTAGCCAAGATGTTGCAAGCAGTAGAATTAGCTGTTGTTTCCTTCTTCCTGGGATCATGACTTTTGTGTAATGAGTTTCTGTAATGTTCTGAGTTGGTTGGCCTCCAGCCAGGAGGTGGCACTTTCAAGAGAGCACACCAGCTGCAGTAGTAGCAGGGGTATCTAAACTTGCCCTAAGTTGGCCAGGGTAAGTATTTTGGTTTCTCAGGCAATAGGTGGGGCTATAAGCTTCCCAAACGTTTCTGTCTTTTGTGCTCAGCTACCAGGGTGGGTAAAGAAATACCATCAGGTGGGGGCAGCATTAGATGCATCTGGCCTCAGATTCTTCTTGGGCAGGGCTTGCTGTGACCACTGAGGGGGATGGGGGAGGTGGTTCTCAGGCTAATGTGGTTATTTTCCAGAGAGAATTATGGCTGCCTCTGCTATGTTATATAGTTCACCAGGGAGGTGGGGGATAGCTGATAGTGAGAGGCCTCACCTACGTCCAACGTAATTGGCAAGGCTCATGTCACTCTTGCAGTTCCCTGCTCAGACTTTGCCCCAGACCCTCAGCTTCCCCACTGAGAAAGCAAGCACAGCTTCCAAACTTCACCCCTCCCCATCTGCCCACACTGTCAGTGGTGACTCCTGCAATTGTATCTGCAGCAGTTCATATTTGACTCCAGATTCTGCTCAAGAAAATTTGTACCCTGTCAAAATTATTACTAATTTCAGTTGGAAGCTTCTTTCATCCTGTGACTCCTCCCTAATTCTGCTGGCTGTCTTCCTTGAGGTCCCCTGTGAGATACAGTCAGGGATGGCTTCCCTGGGCTCAGGCGGGAGACTGGGAGTGCCTATAAGGCTCTTTCTGCTGCTGCTTCTACTTTTGTATTTTGCACAGCTCTCTAAGTCTGTTTCAGCTCTAAGTAAGGTTAAATCCTTTTCCCGTAATCTGGATTTTCAGATTCGCCAGTGGGGATGTGTGTTCAGTGCCAGGTTTCCCCCTCCCACTTTGGAAACTCACAGTTCTTTGTCTGTCTCACAGAATTTGCAACAGTATGCCACTTCTTTCAAAGGATCTATGAATTATTTTGGTTTTCCTGGTTTGCTCCTGTGGTGGTTCTTGGAGCAAAAGTTCACACTACGAGTCTTCACACACTGTTCTGCCCATCCAAGTGGGAGCTTCACATTAGCCCTCTGTTTTATCTGCCATCTTGTCCTCAATTTCTAATATTAAAATTATATAAAATGATTAGAGATCCTAACACTTAACTCTCAGTACTTGATATGCTAAATAAAACCAAAGCCTTTATTAAGGACATGGAAAACTTAAAAAAAACCCCACTATATCAGCAACATCAACACAATTAATATTTATAAAACACTATACCCAACAATATAGCTTCAAGTACACATGGAACATTCCTAAAGAAAGAGTATATTTTAGGTGACACAATAAATCTCAAAAAATGTAAAACAATTGAAATAATATAGAATGAGTTCTCTGATGAAAATTGAGTTAAATTAAAATGAAATATACCTGGAAAATTCCAAAATACTTGTACATTAAGCCATATACCCTTAAATAACCTATAAGGCAAAAATGAAATCACTAGTAAAATTAGAAAAATTTTTAATTAAATGATAATAAAAATATAGCAAAGCAAAATTTGTCAGAAACCACTTCAGCTATTGATATGGTTAGGCTTTGTGTCCCTACCAAAATATCATCTTGAATTGTAATTTCATAATCCCCATAATCCCCAGGTGTCAAGGAAGAGACCAGGTGGAGGTAATTGAATCATGGAGGTGGTTTCCCTCATGCTCTTCTCAGGATTGTGAGTGAATTCTTATGAGATCCAATGGTTTTATAAGGGACTCTTCTCCCTTTGCTCAGTGCTTCTCCTTCCCGCTGCCTTATAAAGAAAGTCCTTGCTTCCCCTTTGCCTTCTGCCATGATTGTAAGTTTCCTGAGGCCTCCCCAGCCATGCTGAACTGTGAGTCAATTAAACCTCTTTCCTTTAGAAATTACCCAGTCTCAGTTCTTTAAGCATTATGAAAATAGACCAATACAGTCATGTTGAGAAGGAAACTTATTATTTCAAATTGTATATGAAAAAAAGAATAAAGGTATAAAATCAAAGATATCAGCCTTCAATTTAAGCAGCTAAAAATAAAAAGCAAATTAAACACAAAGTAAGTAGAATGAGGAAAACAAAGAAGAGTGTAAATCAAGGAAATTGATAAAAGAAGCCCAATAAAAACAATTTTAAAAATCAAATGTCATTATTTGAAAATATAAAATCCTAACTATACTTACGAAGAAAATAAGACACAAGTTACTAGTGATAGGAATGGAGAGAAGACATCATCACAGCTCCTTCAGACATTAAAAGCAAAAATAAAACCTTTTGAAAACTTTTATATCAATAAATTTAATTATGTAAATAAATTTCTTGAAAGTTACAAACTACCAAGGCTCCTTCAAGATGAAATAGATGAGTGCTCCTCATACTATTTTCTAACCTCCCAGATTTTTCTAATAATTTTTGCCAGTGTATCTTTCTTTAGTTAAGATAACCAGATCTGTAACAGTATTCCAGGCAGATGCACCTATAAAGTCCTCCATAAATATGTATCTGCTGGCCATCTTAGATCCTTTCAAAACAAGACTCACAAAGCTGTACCAGATTCCTCAAGCCACACTCATGTTTCACTCATTGAAGTGTCCATAACAATGCATAGTTTAGTGAACACTTAATTGTAGCTCATCAAACTATTTAATAAACTTTTCAGGCATCTGAAGCAGCCCCTTAGGAAAATCAACAATCTCTCAAGCTCAGAAGTCTTATCTTTACTTCTTTTGTAGCCTTCACAGCCTTGATCACTGTGCACATCACAGCTCTAAAGGTTCCATAGGATCATTGGCCCTGCCCCTTCCCAGCAGCAGCTATTAGAGACTGGCTGTTGAACTACACAATAATACAAGTAGAGCTAGAGAATATATAGAATATATAGAAGTTTAGGCTGATTCTTTGATGGCCATAAAACACTTAAGATAAAAGTTACATTTTATTTTTCTCCCTACTGTAAGTCTATTTTGTTATCATTCAAGTGTTCCTTCTAAGAGAGAAAAAATATCTGATTAATCAAGAGTCCCAGGTGTGTTTTACTCAACTCAAATTTTGCTGAATGCTAAAATTTACAGTAGAAGAATACAGGTATACCTGCTTATGGTGCTTTGCTTTATTGTGCTTTTCAGATATTGCATTTTTCACAAGTTGAAGGTTTGCGGCAAACCTGCACTGAGCAAAGTCTACAGGTACTGTTTTCTTCAACAGCACATGTTTACATTGTGTCTCTGTGTCACATTGTGGTAATTCTCACAACATTTCAACTTTATTATTATTATTATTGTGATATTTCTTTTGGTGAACTGTAATCAGGGATTTTTGATGTTACTATTGTAATTATTTTGGGACACCACAAACCACACCCATATAAGATGGCAGACTTAATTGATAAATGTAGTATGTGTTCTCCACAGGTCAGTTTTTTCTCAATTTTTCTCCCTCATCTTAGGCCTCCCTATTCCCTGAGATACAATAATGTTAAAATTAGGCCAATTAATAACCCTACAATTACCCATAAGTGTTCAAATGAAAAGGAGTCAAATGAAAGGACGAGACACACTCATTTTAAGTCAAAAGCTAGAAATGATTAACCTTAGTGAGAAAGACATATCTAAAGGTGAGGTAGGCAGAAATCTAGGCCTCTAGTTTCAGTTAGCCAAGTTGTAAATGTAAAGGAAAAGTTATTGAAGGAAGTTAAAAGTGTTACACCAGTGAATACACAAATAAGAAAGCGAAACAGCCTTCTTGCTGATAGGGAGAACGTTTGAGTGGTCTGGATAAAAGATCAACGGATCTGCAACATTCCCTTAAGCCAAAGCCTAATTCATAGCAAGGTCCTAATTTTCTTCAATTCTAGGAAGGCTGAGAGAGGTAAAGAAGCTGCAGAAGAAAAATCTGAAGCTAGCAGAGATTGGTTCATATGGAAAGAAACCATCTCCATAACAAAAAAGTACAAGGAGAAGCAGCATGTGTTGATGTAGAAGCTGCAGCAAGTTATCTAGAAGATCTACCTAAGATCACTGATGAAGGTAGCTACATTTATCATCAGATTTTTAATGTAAATAAAACAGCCTTCTAATGGAAGATGATGCCATGTAGGACTTTCATAGCTAGAGAGGAGATGTCAATGCCTGGCCTTAAAGCTTCAAAAGACAGGCTGACTCTCTTGTTAGGGGGTAATGCAGCTGGTGACTAAGTTGAAGCCAGTGCTCATTGACCATTCTGAAAATCCTAGGGCTCTTAAGAATTAAGCTAAACTGTGCTTTAGACATGGAACAACAAAGCCTGGATGACAGAACATCTGTTTATAGCATGGTTTACTTAATATGTTTAAGCTCACTGTTGAAACCTACTGTTAAAATATTATTTTCAAATATTAACACTCACTGACAATGCACCTAGTCACTCAAGGACTCTGATGGACATGTACAAGGAGAAAGCTGTTGTTTTCATGCCTGCCAACACAACATCCTTCTCCAGCCCATGGATCAAGGAGTCATTTCAACTTTCAAGCCTTATTATTTAAGAAATACATTTTGTAAGGTGAATGCTTATACACCGATGGTAGAATGTAGACTAGTACAACTTCTATAGAAAGTAATATGGAGATTTGTTAAAGAACTAAAAATAGATATACCATTTGATCCAGCAATCTCACTACTGGCTATCTACCCAAGGAAAATAAGTCATTATATCAAAAAGACACCTGAACACATATTTTTACTGCAACACAGTTCATAATGGCAAAGATATGGAACCAACCTAAATGCCCACTGACTAATGAGTGGGAATGTATATATACACCATGGAATACCTACTCAGCCATAAAAAAGAACAAAATAATGTATTTTGCAGCAACTTTGATGCAGTTGAGGCCATTATTCTAAGTGAAGTAACTCAGAAATAGAAAACCAAATACCATCTGTTCTCACTTATGCTTAAGTGGGGGCTAAGCTATGGTTATGCAGAGGCATACAGAGTTCTATAATGGACTTTAGAGACTCAGAACGGTGAGGGTGGAAGCAGGGTGAGAGTTAAAAACTACATATTGAGTACAATGTACACTGCTCAAGTGATGGGTGCACTAAAATCCCAGATTTCACCACTGTACAAGTCATTCATGTCACCAAAAACCACTTGTACCCCAAAAGCCATTGAAATAAAAAAAGTTTAAAAATAAGTACATTTTGTAAGGCTAAAGTTATTATAGATAGCGATTCCTGTGATGGATCTGGACAAAGTAAATTGAAAGCCTTCTGGAAAGGATTTACCATTCTAGATGCCTGTCAGAACTTTCATGATTCAGGGGAGGAGGTCAAAATATCAACATTAACTGGAGTTTGGAAACAGTTGATTCCAACTTTCATGGATGATTTTGAGCTGTTCAAGACTTCAGTGGAGGAAGTAACTAAAGATGTGGTGGAAATAGCAAAATATCTAGAATTAGAAGTGGATACTAAAGATGTGACTGGATTGCTGCAATCTCATGATAAATCTTGAATGAATGAGGAGCTGCTTCTTATGGATGGGCAAAGAAAATGGTTTCTTAAAACGGAATCCACTTCTGGTGAGGATGCTATGAATGTTACTGAAATGACGACAGAGGATTTTGTTGAGAATATTGCATCAACTTACTTGATGAAGCAGTGGCAAGGTTTGAGAGGATTGACTCGAATTTTGAAAGAATTTCTACCGTGGGTAGAATGTCATCAAAGACCATGTGTTATAGAGAAATATTTCATGAAAGGAAGACTCAATTGATGCAGCAAACTTCATTGTCATCTTATTTCAAGAAATTGCCACAGCCGCCTCAACCTTCAGCAAGCAAAATCCTGATCAGTCAGCAACCAACAACATTGAGGCAAGACTTTCCACCAGCAAAAAGATTATGAGTCACTGAAGGCTCAGATGATTGTTAGCATTTTTTAGCAAGATAATTTTTAAATTAAGGAATGGATATATTGCTTTAGACATACTGCTATTGCACACCTAATAATAGACTACAGTATAGGATAAACACTACTTTTATGTGCACCAGGAAACCAAAAAAACATGTAACTCACTTTGCAGCATTCATTTTATTGTGATGGTCTGGAATCGAACTCACAATGTCCCTGAACTATGTCTGTACTAAATGGAGCAACTGGTTTTATAAATATTTTTGAAACATTTCTCAACTGTGCAATCCACAACTATGTTCATTTTCTGTGTGTATTCTCCAAAATGTGCATTTTTATTTTAACATTTACAGTGACATTTTGAATTATTATCTCTGCAATGTTTCAGAGTTTTCTCTTCTTAATACAAACCTAGATGTTTATTTTTAAGGTTAACATAACCACTAGAGAATGGCAGGTTTTTGCTCCACTGGAGTGCTTACCGGAAATGTAATGACCTTTTCATATGTTAGATTCTATTTAAACTGTCCTTGGTCTTTTGAACTTCATCTGTTCACATTTTTAATTTTTTATTGGTACCTTTTTAAACATGTAATCAAAATATTTACCATTTCATAATCATTTTACTGGATTACTAAAAAGTCTATACCATAAACATAATTCATGTGGTATTTTCATTTCAATGAAAATCACATTACCAATTTTGTGAGAAAGGTGAAATTAGAGGTAAAGAAATCTGATATCTTAGCAGAATTTCAGTCACATATATCCTCCATGAAATAAGCTAAAACTACACTAAAGTTGCAAACTCCGTTGATTAACTTTTTAGCTTCTATGGGGGTGGGGAGAGGCACTTCTCTGAATGGCCAAAGCAAGATTATAAAATCGAATTTCTATGAAGTGGCTTCTAAAACCAGAGTGAAGGGAGTGTGTGTCCCATGTTGAGCAGCCATTTTTCTAGACTCCTGGAATTTACCAGCTAGTAATATTCCAAAAGCAAATTTGGTAGTCAATTAAGGTTGCAAATTTTTTTTGTTTTTGCAAGTAAGAACATACAAACAAACACTACTATCTTCTCTAGCTATTATTTCACATAAGAAAATAAAATTATACCAAAAGAAGTAGGAAGCCTTAATTTTGAGAATGAAGGATGTTTCTTGAAACTGAAGAATAGGCTACATGAAAAACCTACATTTTATCTTGACAGACTTGTACATGTCTTTATAGATTAAACTCATTGTTGCCAAACTCTGTTTTCAAACCTGAAACCTAGGCAGCACTACTTGCATATGGATTCCCAGTCTCCGTGGTATTTACAATATTGCAATGTTGGAGAGCTAGGGGTGTGTGTGTGTGTGTGTGTGTGTGTGTGCGCGCGCGTGCACGCGTGTGCACATTTTGAATACAAAGAATCTGTGATTGCCCATTTTTGGTCTAAAGCAATTTTTGGGGGGTATCATCTCTCTTTCTACGTCCTCTAAGAAGAAATACAGAGTTAGATGTTAGAGGATTTTAAGGCTTCCATGGAGATTACAATTGTTAAGTGAATTTGAAGATATTTTATAGAAAGCATAGAATTGATGCTCACAAACTTTATCTGGGAAATTCCACAGTTTAGGAGAACATTATCCTTACTATGTCAAATCCTCAAGGAGGAAAACATTTACCTTTGAATTATGTACCTCCTGAGGGACTGCTGAATTCATGTAATACTAATGTAGATGCTTAAATCATGCTGTTTTGAATTTATCAGGAAGCCAAATCCAAAGTAAGTCCCTTATTTTCTTCTGGCTACTGGTAGTTTCTATTCTACATTTTTAAGTATCTTATTTGAGCATGTTACTGAATTATCAAAACCCCTGAAAGTCTGAGAAGATTAGGTCAAGCTGTATCAAAAAGAGATGCAGATATTTAAATGAAGCATGAAGTTAACTTCCATTTTCTTACTTAGTTATTATCTACTCTATTTCACCAGGTTGATAACAGGTCTGCACAAGTGTGTATTCTAAACCACCCAGATGTGAGAAAGGCAACCTATGATGAAATTATAATAAAAACACATTTATATTTGTTAAGACATTTGATGTAGTTGTACCTAATCAATTTTGAAAAGTAGAACTCAATGTTCAAGTACTATTAATTTGATATCTCTACCAGATGGATCTCTTTTCAGATTAAATTCCCGCTAAGCTCACCAAATAGTTTCTATTAAAGACACCTGGGGAATCTTCAAAGACCAGGTAAGATTTTAACAGCTCCTAGGAAATTAATGATTATAATGTATGCTAAAATAGTAATGATGTGACGACCAATAATTATGTTAACTTCTGTCACTTTGAAAGTACCTTTACGTCATCAGTCAAGGTAGAATTTTTATTCTGACAGAAGGTTTATGAGGACAAGTCTGCTGGGTATGAATACACATAGTTTGTCCGTCAAAAGGTGGAAATATTCTGTATTAGGAAGTCAAGTCCAAAGAAGAATCTGTATTTGCTTTTCCATACTAGCTACCAGAAATTTCCATACCATATTCTTTGATATGTGAATATAAACTTTTGTGTGAATCTGTGTGTGTATAAAACTGCACACAAAGTGGAAAAGAGGAAATCACTCTGTTTACTTGTAGTGCAGGTGGAAAATACATGAGTATTTAAAAGGACAGTTGCTTATAAACAGAATAGGCCACCATTATGTAAAAAATCTTTGAAAAATAGAAACCCAGTGCTTATCAATTCATTGTAAAAGCTGCTTTTCTTGGAGTCTTCAAAGCTTTTGGAAATGAGGAGCCCCCTATTACCATAGTGATCATCAGAGACTGAAGGGATCACACCTCACACTTCATTTCAATTACACCACTGTTATCCGTTAACATCTTAGGAGAAGTCAGGAATTCTGGTCGGAATTCAGGTAGGGGGTGCAGGAACTTGTAGATCGAAGAGCTAAGCATAATGAAAGAGACAGTGGTTCCAGAAATGGGAAATAAAAGGGGGGCTGATAAGGAATGTGGGGAGGGGACGAACTTTCATTCCTTTCAAAATTTACATGAGGTTAAGTCTGACTTTTAGGGAGAAATCTGGGGCAAGGGTAGAGTAAATCCTCATTTAACATTGTCTTGGAAATTGCAACTTTAATTGAAATAACATATAATGAAATCAGTTTTAGTAGGCTAATTGATATAACTAAGAGTTAGGTTCTTATGGCATATTTCTGGTCACAAATCATCATCAAAATTCTAAATAAAGATCAAAATACTTCCAATATTGAACACTAAAATACACATGAGCTTTGTATGTTTAAGAAAGATTAATAAAAACAAGTAAAAGCATTATTTACCCACTTACGCTGGTTCAAGGAGACAGGTGGCCAGAGGGTCTCTTAGAAACTCAGAGTGTCAGACAGGGAGCAGCCCTGGACAGGATTGCCATTTCATTACAAGATGCCCTCATACACACCCCCACTCACTCTGGGACCAGGTAGACATGCCAGGTCACCCCACGTGCACAGCTTTGGGATGTAGGGGGAAACTGAAGTACCTAGAGAAAACCCACGCAGACATGGGGAAACCATGTGCACTGCATACACACAGTGGCCCCAGCCGGGAATCCCTTTTTTTTTTCTTGTCAATGTCATAAAGAAACGACGCTGAATAAATTCACGTTATTCAAAGACCTGCTGTACTACAGAAAAGTCAAAGAAGTTCTAAAGAAGATATAATATTAGGACTCCCATAATTGCTATTTGTTTTGAACCCTCATCAATTATTCCATGCAGTGTAGGGTGGGAAGAGATCAAAAAGAACTTCTGAAAAGGAATGGGCAGAAAAACTCCTTAATGAGGGATGCAACCTCCCTCTCTAATATAGCTACAAATACAAGAGCAAAAGATGTGGCAAGAGAGGTTACTGTCAGGAGGCAAGTGCAGAAAAAGCTATTGGTTTTTTAAAAATTCACCCAATTAAAATGTGGTATTGACTTTTAGATGTTTTACTTATATTATGGACATTTTCAGTGAGGGAAAAAGCCAAAGACAAAAAAAAATTGATTTGGGCGATTTTCTTTTTGCCAAAACATTGGTCATGTAATTATTAACAACAATAAAGAATGCCAAGTAACTGAATTCCATTACATAATATGAATTCTTGCAACTGCTCACTTTCTTAGTGAATACACCACCTGCTCGTGTTTCCTCCTGCAAATCTCCCAAAGTAAATGCGTTGACAGTTCGTCATCCAGAGATGGCTGAGTTGGTTTCATTTCTGTAGGCTAACCACATTTAGGCTTGGAAGCCTTAAAAAGAAGAGGAGGAGGAGGAAGATGAGGGGGAGCAGGAGAAGAATAGAGAAGAGGAAGAGGAAGGGTGAGAAGGATGAAGTGTGAGGGTGGAAAAACAGAGAGAAAAATAAAGAAGAAAGTAGAATGAATAAAGATTATGTGATCCATAACCTCTGGACTTATGTGAAGTTAAGGCATGGAAGCTAATATGCTAGATTTTGGTGATCCTAGATGTAGGATATTACAGAAAGAAAACCACTTTGCTAACACAAAGAAATAGTAAAGAAAACTTCATGTGATTTTTTTCTATTTAGATCTCACACTTAAAATGCAGTTAGAGTAGAAAGGCCATTCTTATAAAATAATGTTTCATTTTGTTCATTTAACTATGGTTTAATATTTTATAGGTATTATACTATATATTGTGTTTTAATTAACTTGAATTTCATGAGAATGCTAAAGAAGTATTTTAATTTGGTACCTAATTTATCAATAGTTTGAAGCACTAACATTGAAAAATGCTTTAGCTTTAAAAGTTTTTAAATTTAAGTTTTAATATATACTTTTGGTTAGGAATTTAATGATTAGGATAAAACCGCAGACATAACAAAACCTCCAGAAATATATAGCCTAATTGCTTGGTTGGCTATTACAAATCCATTGAAATTGTTACTGTGAGTTAAAAAGACAGCTGAGTTACAATTTGGGAGCAACTGTTAGAACCAGGAGATGGAGTTAGATAAGATCTCCTGTGAATATAAGCAGTATACCTTAGAAAAACAAGAACTTCAAGACTAATTATAATGAAAATGGTTTGGGTAATTACATTTCCATCAGCAGCAAACATATATATATATCTACACACACACACACACACACACACACATATATTGTTATATATATATATTTTGTAATATACATTTTGTTATGTATAACTATATACATATAAAACAAAACACCAGGGATGAGGAAGGCTTTTTGTGAAGTTAGGCTGGTAATACCAGAGTTGGTGTTAAGTTTATATTGATGATTTATTTCTATCAAGTGCCTAAACTAGATGGGGAAATAAATTCTCTATTTCATGTGTTAAAGAATAAAAGTTGCCCCTTATTTTATTGTTTCCAAAAATTATGATTTGATGTGACTGGTAAATGCCTAGACTTATGGCTACGGGTCATTTGGTAAAGGGTATTTAAAGATGAGTTTAGGGGGAATCGGAGAACGAGAACAACGTGCTTCACAGATACCTTGGAGTTTTCACCACAGCGCAGACTGAGAGCTGAGGCATTTGAAAACTAGATGAACACAGACTTCCTAGGAATTCAGATCCTAAGAAGAAATAGATTAAATGTGATCATACAGATGGTTGGATCAGTAAATATTTTAAAACCCAGAGAATTCAGTAATTGCATTAAAATAGACCTGATACCTAGCACTAAAATTTATTATATTTGCCCATTTGGGCATTGTCCCTAAGAATGTTATCATCCTTATTATAGTTCATCACACCTCTTTAGACTTCAGTTTCCCCATCTGTATGTTGAATGAGTTGGACTAGATGACTTCTACGCTCCTTTTCAACTCTAAACCTTAATAAGTTTATTAGTTTTTATTGAATTCAAGATCACACTTGGAAATGCCCTGGTGTCATTTGTTATGACGAAGGTATTGGAAATAACAATGTTGGTAGCCATAGTAACAACAGCAACAAAAATGCCCTGTAGAATATGTTAATTAGCTTGATTTAGCCATTCCACAATACATATATCAAAACATCATCTTGTATACCATAAAATATGCAATTTTTGTCAATCAAAAAATAAATTTTTAAAAATGTCCATGACCTCAAAAAGAGGTAAAAAAGATGAAAACTGTCATACTCCTTACTTAGTACACATAAGGAAACTCATGGAAGACAGTCTCACACTTGATAATATAGTAATAAGCAAGCAGTTGAGAACTTGTGTTCTAGCACTTCGTACAGACTTGAGGGCTCTTGGAAGAGAATCTTAAGTCTCTAACACAATCTTGGTGATTTGCATTGTTGCTGAACATTTCATCACCTGAGTTAAAGTTAAATGTTTTTGAGGAAAACCACTATATTAAAAATCATTTTAAGTAGACTTAAACTACTATTATTGAGCTGGTCCATGATAACTTATTTGCTAGAACTTTGAAAAAAAGTGTAAGGGGTGGAATAATCACCCCTTAGATTGTTCAATAATGTGCAATAATCCTTCTTTAGATCAGTATTTCCTGTAGTGATGTGTATAAAATACACAATGCAGGGAGGTATAGAAAAGGTATAAGTTCCATTGATGCCTTTTCATCTGATACTTCAAATTTTTCTATATTTTATTTATTTTTAATTATGCATTTTATTTAATGGTAGATTATGTCTAATCTACCATTGTATAAATAACATTGTATAAATAAAGAGAATAGAGAATCACTGATGTGTTTTTAATTGATGAAGTGCATGCTCAGAAAAAAATTAAATTGCTAATTTAAAGGACTGTCTTTTATTCACTCATTCAACCAACATTTATTGAGCATCTATTCTATTCTAGTCATTATGTTAGTCTCTGGGAATCCACTGAAGAGAAAACATTGACAGGTCATTTTAAGGTTAGAAGCATTTGTTGATGAATAAATGAGGATTCTTCTAAGAATTATAGTGGGCAGTGAAATATATTTGGAAGAAAAACTGTCTTAGTCTATATTTGCCTGTCTTTCCAGATATCAGGGTTCAGTTTGCCCTGTGACCTCATTTTTCTGATGGATACAAGAAAAATAATTGGTTTTCAGTTTGTGCAGTGTTTCCCTTGTTGTAAGACTGGAAGTGACATTGCCGAGATTGTTACATGTCAGAGGTAAAACCTGAAGTCCTAAAGTGAACTTTTAATAAAAGAAATATGATCATATCACCTTCTTGCTTAAGCCTGGGATATTTGTGTTTTTGTTGTTGTCATTTTGTTTTTGTTTTTGTTTTTAACCATAAACAGAATAGAAATCAAAGTTTTTAGCACAGCATTCAAGATCTCACAAGATCTTCCCTGAATCTACTATTTATCTATGCCCGTCACTACAGCTATTGTTCCTCACTTGTTCTGCTTCAATGAGCTATCATATCAAAATCTTGCATATCTTTCAACGTCCAGATCAAATGTCAACTCTCCTATAAACACTTCTCCTGCACTTATCTTTACTCCACTAATAGGTAATCTTATTCTTTTATGTTTTATGGCATTTAATTTATATATCATTTTCAATTAAAAAAATAGAAACAGGATCTCACTCTATTGCCCAGGTGGGAGTGCAGTGGTGCAGTCATAGCTCACTGTAACCTTGAATTTCTAGGTTCAAGCAATCTTCCTGCCTCATCCTTCTTCAATTTTTTACCATAGTATGCCTTTAATTATTGTTATTTGTGCATGTTACTGCTGTTCTTACTAGATTACAAGACCCTTGAGGATAGCAACTATGTCTTATTCAACTTTGTGTTTTCCATGTTGACTGATACAGTGTTTTTATATAAGAATAACCTAGGAAAATTCAGTACATTTAATTGTTGTTTAATTGAAGGGCAAAAATGAAAAAAAAAATTCAAAAGATACTGAAATCACCTTCTAGATTTATCAGATAGTTTTAACAGCAACTAAAAAAAAACTCCTAGAAATAATTAAACTCTCATATCAAGAAAGAAGTAATATACATTTAAAGGAAAGAAAGTCTGTAAGTATTACAAATCAAGAAAATACAGAATTTGAAGTAAGTAGTATTAAGCAGAAGTGGTACCAACAAAGCACAGTATACTGCATTTGTATAACACCTATACCTCCTAAGTGGTTCAAGTTAAGCAGTTGCCTTAATGTAGTCAACTTTATGGCAGAAGCCACTCAGGCTGGAAATGCTTATTATATCTTCAAGTCCATAAATGTTGTCATGACCTTTCTCATACTACTACTGTCTTGGAAAATTTTAGCAAATTACTACTGCAAATTCTGCTTAGATGCCTTTATACACACATACCCACCTTTAATTCATTCCCCTGGTAGAGTGCTGTGAAAAATAAGAAATTGAAGATGTTGTAAAGGTTATTGCATCCAAGCTGAAGATAATTACAGGTTACCATATTGGGACACAAAGTGGTTTGTTGTACCTGAAGTCCGCAAGCAGAAGTATGTAACACTCACATGCACATCACCTTCAACAGAAGTAGGAAAATCCTTGTACATTGTCTCCTGTACTAAAATCACTTCACTCAGTACAGATAAGCACATAATTTCTCAATGAATCATGGAATTATTAGTTAATGCCTACTTGACCTTTCTACCCGTATACCTTTCCAAAAAAAGAAAAAAAAACCTGAGTAATTTGTAGACCTTGAAGATCAGCAACACTCATAAGTAATTTGACAGTAAGAAATAAGTAAGGGACATTCTAAGGTTTCTTGCTTAGTTGCTTAGGAAATCAAGAACCTCATTGCATTAGAGCTGGAGTAAAAGAAGTCCTGAGTTTATAAAACTCTAGCAAGCAGAGAAAAACAAACAAAAATGAGCGAAATTTCTTAGCTCAAAAGTTTAGCAATTTTCTTGTTTTAGAACTAAAAATTCAGTAGTATCAGCTGCCTATAAAATCTATAGAGCAATCAGAGTGAGTAGCCATTATCTCATTTGGTGCAATTCAAAATGACAATTCAAAGCCAGTATATTTTCTGTCTATGCTTGCAATAATGATGAAAAATGTCATAGATGGTTGAAATGTAACTGTCACTCAAGAAGAGTATAAAACATACTTTCTGAGTGTTTTTGAAAGATCTCATTTTTTCAAAAAAAATGGAAACTATGTCTTTCAAATATAAGCTGCATTGGACATCAGTAAAATGTCTGGGCAGGTATACAATAGCTTGTTGAGAATCTCTAGACTCACATCTAGTAGGATGTCATAGAAGATTTTGGCATAGATACTCTAACTCAGAAATCACTTAACTATCCAAGACACCTTCATTCCTTTATCCTTCTTGTTCAAGCTATGGCCAAGATCTGTTAACAGCTCCTTAAGACTAGCTTCTTCTAATCTTTTGTATTCATTAATCTCCGCTGATTCTTAGTTAAGGTATTCAGCCCTTCTCACATGAACTATTATGAGAGTCTTGAAATTGGCCTTCTGTTACTCCAATATGCCCATCTCGAATCCAGTATTTAATACTATAATGAGAGGAACCATCCTAAAATGTAAATCTCACTATGCTGCATTCAGGATGAAAGCTTTAGAATGACTACTGATTGCCTAGAAGATAAAATACAAGTCTTTTAGTACAAGACATTGCAAAATCTTCTCTGTGTCTACTTCTCCCACCTCAGTTATCAACACATTTTCCATTTCCTCCTCTCTCCATTCCTACCATAATCGTCCCTCTGGATGTTTCTCAATCCAACATACTTCATTCCTCCATTCCACTATCCATACTGTGATTTTTGTCTAGGATACCCCTTTTCCCCTTATTCCAACATATTTTGCAAAACATGGTTCAATATTCTCTTTCTCTATGAAGTCTATAAAATTAACCTTACTCTAGAACTGTGCAAATACTTCTGTTGTGACACCAATAACAATTTATTTCACTAGCATCTTTAAATGTCCATACTACAGACAGGTTATAAAGGTAATTCCACAAAAGCATGGAACATGCATGATTGTTTTTGTTTCCTCAAAATGTAGCAAAATAAGCACTCTATAAATATTTATTTTAATTCCCTTTATTAAGGGGAACTTAACTTATCCAGAAGCATTAAGAAACTATTAAACAAGCACTGTTTCTTAAACAGAATTTGCTATACAGTCATGTGTCACTTAATTATGGGGATACATTGTGAGAAATGCATTGTTAGGTGATTTTCTCCTTGTGTGAACATCATAGAATGTACTACACAAATGTAGATGGTACAGCCTATTGGTCTCAGGCTACAAACCTGTACAGAACGTTACTGTACTAAATACTGCAGGCAACCATAATGCAATGGTAAGTGTTCATGTATCTAAACATAGAAAAAATACAGTAAAAATTATAGCATTATAATCTTATGAAACCATTGTCATATATGCGGTCCATGATTGACTAAAACATTGCTATGGGGTGCATGACTCTACTTTCACTGCATTATGGGTAAGGAGTTAGTATGATTCATGGTCAAAATGTAATAAACTATATTGGTGGAATGCTAGCTGCCTAGAGACAGTATAGGTACAGTAGTTAAGTATGTATTTTTGATGCCAGACTGTTTGGTTTTAAATTCTGACTACCATTTACAAGACGTATAACTTTGGTCAATACCCTTGAGCTCCCTAATCTTTAGTCTCCTCAGCTATAAAATGAAGATAATAATACTCATAAATTTGTTGTAAGAATGAAATAATATAGATCAAGTAGCTTAGATAGGCATTTATATAGAACACAGTAGACATCAGATATTATTTCTAAAGTAGATGCAATAGGATAAAGGTATACGTGTGTGTAATCTGTGTAAAATCCACTAATTACGTTTCCACAAAGCAATAAATACTTTTAGCTGAGGCTATTAAGATAAGGTCTGTAACAAGAATACCATGTTAAAGTACCTAGACTCTTTGCAATGGGGAGCCCATGGAGTGTTTGTGGTAACTAACTGACATGTTTCATTTTCAGATCACTGTATGTAAAACAACTATTGCAGAGATGAGGAAAGGAGTAATTAGAGGAAGGAAAATAAGTAAATATGGTAATATTCTAGGTTAGAGGTTGATATGGTTTGACTCCATGACCCCACCCAAATCTCATCTTGTACCTCCCATAATTCCCACATGTTGTGGGAGGGACCTTGTGGGAGATGATTCAATTATGAGGGCAGGTCTTTTCCATGCTGTTCTCGTGATAGTGAATGGGTCTTATGAGATCTGATGGTTTTAAAAATGGGAGTCACCCCTGCAGAAGCTCTTTTTGCCTGCTGCCATCCATGTAAGATGCCATCCACGTCTTCTCCTTACCTTCTGCCATGATTCTGAGGCCTCCCCGGTCATGTGGAACTGTAAGTCCAATTAAACCTCTTTTTCTTCCCAGTCTTGGGTATGTCTTTATCAGCAGTGTAAAATGAACTAATACAGTAAATTGGTACCAGTAGAGTGGGGCACTGCTGAAAAAATACCTGAAAATGTGGAAGTGACTTTGGAACTGGGTAACAGGCAGAGGTTGGAACAGTTTGAAGGGCTCAGAAGAAGACAGGAAAATGTGGGAAAGTGTGGCACTACCTAGAGACTTGTTGAATGGCTTTGTCCAAAATGCTGATAGTGATATGGACAATAAAGTCCAAGCTAAGGTGGTCTCAGATGGAAATGAGGAACTTGTTGAGAACTGGAGCAAAGGTGACTCTTGTTACGTTTTAGCAAAGAGACTGGTGGCATTTTGCCCCTGCCCTAGAGATCTGTGGAACTTGAGAGAGATTATTTATGGTATCTGGTGTAAGAAATTTCTCAGCAGCAAAGCATTCAAGAGCTGACTTGGGTGCTATTAAACACATTCAGTTTTATAAGGGAAGCAGAGCATAAAAGTTTAGAAAATTTGCAGGGACATGGAGTCAAGGGAGATCTTGCATGGGGCCTGTAGTCCCTTTGTTTTGGTCAATTTCTTCCATTTGGAACAGCTGTATTTACCCAATGCCTGTACCACCATTATATCTAGGAAGTAACTAACTTGCTTTTGATTTTACAGGCTCATAGATGGAAGGAACTTGCCTTGTCTTGGATGAGGCTTTGGACTGTGGACTTTTGAGTTAATGCTGAAATGAGCTGAGACTTTGGAGGGCCGTTGGGAAGGGATGATTGCTTTTGAGATGAAAAGATATGAGATTTGGGAGGGGCCGGGGGCAGAATGATATGGTTTGGCTCT